CGCCACCCCAGCACCGCGCCGCCGGAGCGCGCCCCCCCCCGAGGAAGGCCGCACCGCGCTCCCCCTGCCGCCCCTTACCAGGTGCCGCCCCAAGCATGTGCTTGGGTGCCTGGAGCCAGCCCTGCTACAGGGACTGTGGGATGGGGTATACCGTGTGTTCCCTGCAAGGCAAAGGAAGGGCTGGCAGAGTTCTGAGGAGAGTGCTTGAGTGGCAGTGAGGCTGATTGGGGTAGGGAGCTGGCTCACAACAACCACAAGAAAGACCCCTTCATGCTGGCAGGCAGGGGGTAACAAGGTGACTCACAGTCCTAGGAACTCCAAGAAAGCATCACGTCAGTATAGCAAAATAAACAGCACTCCTGCAGCACATGATCATACTAATAACTGTGCAGCAAGACAAAGCAAAATAAACAAACACAATTCCCACTTCCCTACACATTAGTCCTGAACAACCGGTGCATCTTCAGCAGCCTTCTTAAAAAGATGTGCCTTGGAGCATGCCCTGAAGGTCAGCAGATTCAGGCTATTTTGGACCAAGGGGCAGCCATATATTTCAAAGGACAGGAGTCATCGCTGAGAATATCCTCTTTGGTCCCTTCTCTTTTATAATGAGAGGGCTCTGGCTCACGTGCCTCTGCAGATCTTAATTGTGGCAAAATATCCCAGGGAAAGAAACAGTCTCTCAGGTGGGATGGTCTTGAGCCATATGGGGCTTTAAATGTCAGAACCAACATTTTAAACTATCCACAAACTGCAGGCAGCCAGTGTAGAACATTAGCATTGCTTAAAAATGCTTGTGGTAAGAATCGCCTCTTAGCGAGGAGACTGACATATTCCTCACTAGCTTTAAGAGGCAGTCCCAGGAGTAGTGCCAGGGTTTTTGCCGCCTTAGGCGGCAGTGCTCCTCCTCTTAGCATTCAGGGGGCCTGGGGTCTTCGGCGGCAGGGGTCCTTCCGCTCTGGGTCTTCGGGGCACTTTGGTGGTGGGTCCTGGAGCGAGTGAGGGACCCGCCGCCCAATTTCTGCCGAAGACCCGGAGCGGAAGGACCCCCGCCACTGAATTTCCGCCAAGGGTGGCAAAATGCCACCCCCCAAATCCTGCCGCCCTAGGCGACCGCCTAGCATTGTCTAGTGGAAGCACCGGCCCTGGGTAGTCCTAAATACAAAAGTCTAGTTTTGAGGTGACAAAGGCCTGAATTATACTGGTGGGGTTCACAACAGGAAAAAAAAAGCTTCAACCTTCTAGCTTGAAATGAAATGAAAACAAGCCATCTTGGCTACCATTGAAAGACAATCATGCAATGATATCTGAGAATCCAGCCAGACTCCTTAGTTGCAGATACATAAGTAATTATCATCAAAGACACGACTACAGTCGGTGGGGGAATGGTGGGGAGCAAAATAGGCAGTTTGCCCTAGGCCCCCTGTTTGAGAGTTCCCCTAAACTAAGTGACGTTATGACGTGGCACATGGGGTAGCAGTGGCACTCGGGTTTTGGGTACTTGGATATTTGCTCTTCAGCCATCTTTAGGATGAGACCAGTCACCAGCACCACTCATAATGTTTTTGTTTTGCATTTTCTTTTCAGAAATGTGTATTAAGTGCAGGAAAGGATTTCTAGGGTGTAGATGTGATGCTCCTCAGGGCTACCTAGGGTTGTGAGTCACCTCATCACTATCTGCCCTTAGCATGAAGGAGTATTGTCTGTGCTTGCTGTGGGTCAGCTCCCTGAAACCAACAGCCTCTGGCAATACAAGCACTGCCTCCTGGGCCTCTGCAGGCCTCACGCGTTCTATATAGGTAGCGACAGGCGCACACAGCCCCTGAATACTCTGAGCATTCTGTGCAATGTTCAGCCCCCTATCTACTGAACACTCCCAGAATTACCAGGTCTACTATTCCCAAGGGAACAGCACACACCAGATTGCAAGATTCAACTCAGGACCAGCTCTTTGCTTAACGCTACAGTACTCAGATATATATTTATGGTGAAAACAAGAATACATTTATGATCAGAGATACAAGGAACTGTGAGTAAGAATATTGGAAACAAATGGTTACATACAAAACAAAATAATAAAACACATTCTAGAGACTAAACTAATAGGTTAACCTCATGTCTAAAGAAGTTTTCTCTCACCTAAAGTTCTCTTCAGCATTTTCAACCAAGACAGAATGAGACCCCACCTTCATGAATGCAGAAGCCCTTGTTTTCTTCCTTAGCGAAGGGCGCCTGGGTGTCTTCCTTGCCTTCTAGAAATAACCCCAAAGCCCATTGTCTTTACATAAACAGGGTAACCCCACAAGGCTTGCTTTTTCCTGTGTGTTCTTTTCATGTTGATTTCACATCTCTTCATTAACATTTGACTTCATATGTAAATAAACATCCATTGTGTTAGCTTACAATGCTTAATTTAGATCCGGACAGAGAAACATTTTTTGTCTAAGAGAAAACCTGTTTTTTACCTTTGCTGGTGACTAATACCTTGATACAGACTCTAAGGACATGTTTTCTATACATATACATAGCTCCTTACATAGTATCTGTACATATATTTCATAATGGTATTGATGACCAGTGTGACACCAGCTTTTAATTTAAGACCTTGCATGATATTTTTTGGTGAACCAGAATGTATGCATCAGAATCAGGATATTCCTGTAACCACCTTGCCAACTAGCATTAAGAGGTTTTGGTGGTCACAACATAGGTGCTGGAACTAGGGGTGCAGTAGCAGCCCGTGGCGTGAAGTGGTTTCCATCATATACAGGGTTTACAGTTTGGTTCAATGGCTCTGAGCACCCCCACTGTACAAAGTGTTCCAGCACCCCTTGGGTCACAGGAGACGCTATCATAAAAGCAGGCCAGAGTTCCTGTATATGCATCCCTGACCACTAAGTAAACCCTTAACATTATTGTACTTATCTTACATAAACTTCACAGAGCACAATATTCACCTCAGCTACTGCAGCCTAAAAACAAATGTGACTTTTTAAAAACTTTATCCTAAAGATTTTTCTGGTAGATTTTTTTTTTTAAGTTTTATCTCCTGGCAGAATCTGGTAAATTCAGTTCAAAGCTCAAGTGTTCTGTTTGAGTTTAAGAGGACAGCTCAATTGCTTTGTCTTCTTGTTCCTGAGAACGAGATCCTAATTTCAGTATCACTGTTAAATACAATTAAAAGTGCTTACCTCACATTCATTGTGCAGAAGAATGCAGATATTTATCAGGAGAATCACAGAGTTCATTGGGAATTCAACACTGTACAAACAGCTACTACTGAAGAACTGAGACCAAATGTTTATGGTTCCTGAAACGTCACAAACAACCACTAAACCACAAACGGATGTCTGACAAACTCACTCTGCCTGATCCAATGACCTGATGTAAAATTTCTAAGTGTCTTATTATATTTTAACATACATTAAATATTTCCAATTATTATAACAGACAACTGTTTGAAAACAATTGCACCTGCATAAAAAAGGGATCCAAAGTAATTGAAAGGGGAAAAATTGTGTGTGAAAGTGTGCATGGGAGAGAGTGAACAAGTTCTAATCTGTAGCATGGGGTGCAAGCCACCATTTAAAATTTGATTCAGTGCTTGCGTGAGATCTGAGCTTTGTGTAGCTCTTGTGGCTGTTCTTCATTCTGTAGTCTTGGTTAAACAGCTCATCAGGATTCCTGCTGGTCTTTGGCTTTTGTCAGAGTCAATAAGCGTAAAGCGGTGTAAAGTTGAATTTGCTTTTTTTTTTTTTTACCATCTGTGTCTGATTTGAATGGGACTGCTGCCATAAGTAAATTGAGGGGGATTTTAAGTCAGTGGAATTTAAATTCTATGTTATTACTCATATGAGTATGGTAAGGAGAATTTGGGGATTTGGCCCATTCTGTTGCTTCAGGTTTGTACAAATAAAACTTATCAAAGCAATCCTTTTGTAAAACATTTTCAATTGCCACACCCAGTCTCATATACATAAGATCATTGTAGCGAGGTGGTCACCTGCTCCTGCCTTAAAAGGCTTAAAACAGCCCAGGGAGAGGGCTGTGGCGGGGAAGGAAAAGCGGGGCTGATTGGGGAAAGCAGCCTCAAATGGGGGCCATGCCCCAATCAGGCCAAGGCTGGCTTAATGAGGGCCCAGCTGGCCCTTATAAGAGGGCTGGGGCCAGAATCCAGAGAGAGACTCTCTCTAGCTTTGAGAGGGAGGGAGGGACCTGTCTGCAGGGAGCTGAGAGAAGGTACCGGGAGTGCAGCAGGGCTGGGGGAAGGCCAAGGGAGCTGGGGAACTCCAGCCCAGAAACCCCTCAGGCTGCGGCCTAGTGGAAGGCCAATTAGGTACTGTGGTTGCAGGGGGCAGCCCACGGGTAGGCAGGGGCAGCAGGTCCAAACTTCCCTTGCCTATGATGAGTGGCTTTTACACTGCAGTCTGCCCCAGTGAGCAGGGTCTAGATGGTGACTAGCAGTAGCCCACGACTGAGGCAAGGTGGGGATTAGAGGGTTGCGGGTTCCCCAGAGAGGGGAGACCCAGAGGCAGAGTGTGGAGGTATTGCCAGGGGGCAGCACCCCACATAAAAGGGGCACCAGGTCCTGAGAGGGACATGGGGGCCAGCGGCAGCAGGACACTGGCCTGCAGAGGGCACTCCGGAGGCTGGAAACGCTAATTCCCTGAGACGACCAGCAGGAGGCACCGCAGGGGTGAGTCCTGCCCCATTACATCATGGTGGAGAATGCTGGCACATGGGTCCACCCCTGATACAAGGGGCCAGGGCAAGTACTGTGGGACAGTTGCCCAGATCGAGTGAAGGAACTGAAGGTGGAGACGCAGGATGGAATGAGGGACTATTATTGGAGAGCCTGTGTGGCCCGGCTCACCGAGCAGCAGGCGGGGCTGCTTCAGCTGCTGCGGGGGAAGGTACCTGGACCTCAATGGGGGCCAGGCGCCTTGGGCTGGAGGCCAGTGCTGGGGCCTAAAGACTGTTTCGCCTGTGGGCGACAGGGACACTTGAAAAGGGAGTGCCCCATCTCAAAGAGGCTCCGCCCGGGACATGATGGAGAGACTCGAGTGCCCCCTGTGAAATTAACAGGGGGGCTCCAAACTTGTTGGGCCCGTGGGGAGCCGGGGCACAAGAAGAGGGAGTGCCCTCACAGAACTCACAGGACCAGG